GGACGCAACATGTAACATCCAACAATGTTGGGAGTTGTTGGCCAACAATGTTGCGTCCGTTTGCACGGTGCTTAAGCATAAGAAATTAATTATCACAGCGCAAATATCTCGTGCCCCCATACTACACTCCTGGTCACCAAATATACCCTGGAAAAATGTGTTTTTTTGAGCTATTTTATAAAGCAGTTAACTTTTAAAAAATAGTTTTATATATAATGTGTGTGTGTAATTGATGTTTAAATGAAATGCATTTTAATTGCACTATTTCTATTTTTATTTCATTTTACTTATTATTTCTCTTTCGGAGATACTAGCAGAAATGCTACTCTAAAATCCGAAATATTGAAATAAAGATATGATTGATTGATTGATTGATGGGATTGACGTTCCATTTTTTCTGAACCCTCTCCCCCTGTGGATGAGCATCCCTAACTGATCACCGTCCATTGGTTGGGGCAGGGGATCGCAATAAAATTTTTATCATCACAATCTTCAAAGGTCTTTAGAGAAAGTTGAAAAAGTTGTAGAATTTGTAAGAGTAGAGCTCAAAAGTACTGGAGTTCTCAAAAAGGTTGTTGATAAACTATAATTTTTTTAGTAACTTCTTCATGGATAAACTTCCATATCCTTTCACAGACAAATTTCTTCAGGGGCAGGCCCATTTCGTATAGAACCTGTCATTTTCAGGAGCAAGAAGAGATACATTATTGGGAAGGGGGAGGGGAGGTTGGATTAACTTTGTTCCATTATATAGTTATATTTAATTCTGATAGGTATATATTCAATGCAATCTAAAGTAGTGCCCACACACAATAATAATGTGGTCTGTGTAGAAGGCAACCCAGCTTTAACTAGACCAATTATCTATCTGACCTCGAATAAAATTTTACTCTGTTCAACTTGTCTCTCTAATTTAAAATGTTTTCCTCTCAAGTTTCTTGTTTAATTCAGGCTTGGTATATTAAAAGACCTTCTGAGCAGACATGTAAGTTAATGTCAAAGTACAAAGACATTAAATGTCTTTTAATTTTGCTTTAATGTCACAATGCAATATTCCTTCCTTTTTAAATTATCTAAAATTAATGTCCTTTTTTCTTTATATTCATGTGTAGAGTGAAACATTGTGGCAGAAAATTACAATGGCCTCTTCACTTGTTGATGTAGCTTCCATTCCTCCAGAAATTATC